CTCCATAATTTTTCTTTCCGGTGTGTTCGTGAGAGGGCGATGAAGGACTTTTGCTGTAAAAGATGGTGGTGGTCCATAGTGTGCTTCAGGATCCTGTGTTTCGAGAATGCTTCGTTGAGATATTCTTCAGTGCGCGGCGATGTTCGTCCAAACGGAGCTTGAGCGGTCTACCAGATTCTCCAATATATATCTTTCCACATTCGTCACACTGAATCTGATAGACTGCCCCCCGCATTTAACAAATCTTTTCGTTCCCACAGTATCGACAGTTTGCATCGCTGCATTTGCTTTCGTATATACGCGTCGATGTAAGTATGTCTTTGAGTGAGTAACTAAAATTTATCACTCTTTAAGCGGAAGCACCCCGGTTATTATCCAACTAATCCACCACACACCATTCTTTGTTTGACCCATTCTTTCGTTGTAACATATATATCCCTGTTGGACATGCCCTATTTCAAGTGCACATTAGATGATTACATCAGCAAGAGTACATACATATGGCGATATCGCATTACCGTGTTACCTCATACTGACGCACATACCTTTGACGGCAAAAAGTTATTCCATCCTAGCACCTGTTTGCTCAACAAATGCAAATGCTGATGCCTATATGTAGATGAAAATTTGATATGTCCCAAAAAATTTCTCATCTGCTTTTTGCTCACTTGTTTGGTTCTTGAACGGAGGCCTAGGTTACGGTAATGGAAAGGTTAGCGGTAGAGCCCCTTACACAACAGGAAGAGTTAACGGAATGGAGAGAACAAATAAAAGATGTCATGGTACATTAAGAATATGAAATAAGGAATTATTCAAACAGATTGACTCACCCTTCTGATGCAAGAAGTCGACCTGATAGGAGCAACATACTGTCAGATCTTGAAGTTTTCGTTTCAACATCCTAAAAAAGCCATAAATTATCCATCAGTCTGAAGAATTTTAAAAAAGAAAAATTTCGACCTCTTAGGAACCAGAATAAGAAGAAAAATATCAAGACGACAGCGACACATGAGAATTAAGCAATGGTATGCATTAGTGTAGTGGGTGTGTTGTCTCGGAAAATACTAATGCACTTTAGTTATTTTAAACTTAGCAGCTGTTCATAATTAAACGAATCTATGGACGCCAGCATAGTCGTGTAATCTGTTTTGCTGTGCCCTTGGTGTCTTTCAGCGTTTCTTATAAATATCCAAAGCCAAGCCAAAGTATCTTTCTAATTCTTATTTTCAATTATTATCCTTCGAGATAATGCTTTATTGGAAATTGTTTGAAAATTCTCGAATCAAAGATCTAGGTAAGCTCAGAAGCACAGGAGAAGTACCGGAAGCCACGTTATCACTGAAATATAAAGTATACATACTCTCTTTGTCGCAGACTAGGACCAATGGTGGGCGGAGCCAGGACGCCCGACGGAACGCCGTACGTGTTTAAACTGGTTATAACACCGAGAATCAGCCCTGCTTTAATCGATACTGTTCCATTCGGGAGCCTGACTCCGCCCACCTTTCACTGGTGTTAGTCCGCGACAAAGAGAATAGTAGCCGAAATGAAATATACCTTCCAGTGAGCGCTATTTTTGTGTCCATCTCTAGGATCTGAACTCATTCTTGGATTTAGCCTAAGAAACTCTTCTTTTTGGCTCTGCTATGTAGGGTGAATACGAAAACAATCATTTTTCTCATGATAAGCTAAACAATGAGTGGAAACTAAAAAGTTTCTACTAATGTATTTTAAGTAGTTGTAACTAATTTCTTGAGCAAATCCATAACATTCACCAAATTTAGCCACATAAATTAAAAATATTGCAAAAACTAGAACATTTTCATTTAAAGCCAATGTCGATATCGATAGAATATTCAGCTGTTTTGTAAAGCGCTATGGGGACGCTTCAAAAGTATAAACCTTTACAAAAATTTCGTTGAAGAGAGCATCATTCGCTCAAGAATATGCTGAATGCTGAAAAATGGTTATTTTTCAAAATAGAAATAAACGAATAAAAATAAACATAATAGAGTGCACTAAAAATATTTACTGCTTAAGAAAAACAGTGGATTAATTCGTTTTAGCCTTGTTATTTTTGAAAAGAAAACAGAATTTGATGTGAAATAGCTTGCGCTTTGAATTTAAATGCCATCCCCTCTCTATAAGTTGCTCTACCAAAAACTATATTTAAGCCTACTGATTCCTGATGCAATGACTCCTACTATTAATCTTGCCCGGAAGTTCACAACAAGCAGACAACGAAAACAAACTTCAGAGGTTATACTAGTTTCTGAGCTACTATAGTTATTGTAACCTTGGCAGCTGTCCAGCGCTGCCAAGGTGTGCTAAAAAAAAGAAATTCTGCGGAGTTCTTGGTTTATGTCAGCAAAATTGTGCCGGACATTTTCTAAGGAGGAAAATCTTGAGTCCATAATAAAACTGTAGCAACGACAAAGGAAATTCTATAGATTTCTAGTATAATATACTTAACAATGCAGAAAATTGACTATAGATGCCCTTTGAGGCTCATCTACAAAGCTAAAACATCAAGAATATGTAAATCTCTGCAGAGTAAAGAGGAACACTTTCAAAGACACCGCCATGCACACCTAGCAGCAAAGTGAAGGTGCGCGCTGAATTGCAATGACGTATTATCTCGGTAGATGATCAAAACTAGCAGAATCTACAAAGGATGACTCGCGCCGGAGTCCGATTTCGTGGAAGGCAGGAAGACTAGCCGTGGGATGGCGGCCAGAGAAGGGATTCCCGAGTGCCTCAAACAGCACTGAGAGCCGTAACAACAGCATAATGCGGTATGG